TGCAATAAACGAAGAGCTTATCGGGAACACGCAGTCCGGTTCGTCAGCCATGATTTCATCTACTAACGGATGAATGTTGTTGGTATGCTACGTGATCTCGCCGTATCATAGTGTCTTGGTGTAAAATTATAGTGATAGCGTTTGCAAGAAATAGTTTAGTAATAGTATTACTTTTGAGTTATACAATAAGTATATTTTATTTTTTATATTTTTGTTGCAGCGTTATTCTCGCAAAACTATTTTATACTGTTTGTATTCAAGTGTCTCTATATTTGATATGAATTTAATAAAAATAGTCAAAAGTTTTTACTTATTATATTAATGTTTTATTTTGAAGTTGTATTTTTTTACAAATTTTAGTAACAACTTTACGCACAAAATAGTTTAGTAATCCAAGGTTAAAATATTAAGTTGCGTTATTTCTTTTGCACTTGCACGCGATTTAAAATTATATTGCAAAATTGCGATGCGATGACATTGCAATTGCACTGATTACGATTCTTAGAAAAGATCGCATCGCGGTATACGATTTCATCAATTGCACAGCCCTACATTGAGAGAAAAATGTTTGGTATTTGTAACTATAATCATATAGAGAAATAATTATTATAAATTATGGTCAAGACAAACATTTTTTAGTCAAATGCATTATAATTTTAGTGATAATAACGTTATATGCATGTTACTACTACTATCTTCGTGTTGGGACAACTAAAAAATATAGCTGGGCCCAATTTGGTGCCAACTATATTGTTTTTGGTTGTTCCAACATGAAGATAGTAGTAGTAACATGCATATGAGGTTATTATCATTAAAATTATAGTGCAATTGACTAAAAAATGGTCTTGACTATTATTTATAGTAATTATTTCTCTATATGATTATATAGTTATAAATTTACAATTTTTGTGTATGTTTCTTGTAAAGCTGAACTATACTAAAATTTTAGCGTAAGTTATAGAAAATGCACAATATAAAAATTGTCCAAGTAATTACAATAATTTTTTGTAAAAAGTCAAACTTGCACGAAACCTTGAAAAAAGTTCAATAATTGAATCTTGTGATTGAAATAATTGAAACAGATGACGATATTGCAATGTGGTTAAAAGATTAATAATATATGTGTATTTAATATTCGATTGTAGTTACAAATACCAAACATTTTTCTCTCAGTGTACACACCATCTCCGTCTGAGACGGTGAAGGCTAGTAACGCGGGGAAAAATCGCCCGGTATCGTATCGTTGTAGTTTTGTAGACGAGCGCGGCCCGACGAGCGACATTCGACACGCTCGAATCGAACGGCCGAATCGAGTTCACAGGCGGAAATCGCAACAGCCGGCGCATGGATTGATAGGCCCGATATACCTGCTTGCCATACAAAACCGAACGATCGACGTTAATGGCCAAACAACGCGCTCGCGAATTGCGGCACGTACGTACACCGGCATGAGCGCGCCGCGATCGCCGGAAGAACCGAGGCAATTCATTGCGAGTGCGTGCTCGGCGCTCGCCAACTTGCCTGCGATCATGTGCACGTCTCGTGATCGTGTCCCGGTATCGAGATCGATCGTTCGACTTTCGTGCTGGTAATGAGGCCCGCGCCGACGAATCGGGACAAATCATACGTACTCGCGTGAGCTCCTCGCGAGCTCTTCGTTCGATCGTTGACGCGTCGAGAGCATTCAACAGGCTCGTCAGCCTTGCGGAAACAAAATAGGAAAAGTGGAAGGAGGATTTTCCTCTTACTTTTCATCGATAAGGCGTTTCAATTTTAACCCTTTTGAGGCCTCATCGAGATCCCGTTTGAGTAAAATTTTCTTTCTTCATGAAGTAGCCCTAAAAGTCGTTCCTGTACTGAGAGAACAATTACCTTAAAATCAAACGATGAATTTTGTCCGAATCACAAGATTTTCATCACACTGAGAGAAAAATTACCTTAAAATCAACAAATATTTTTTTGATGTGGATGCCATTAACATATTTATTTAAATCTAAATTCTCTTTAGACCATCTTCTTTAGACCAAATATTGTTTACTTAAATCAGGCAAACAATATTTGATTTAAATAAAGAAAATTTAGATTTAAGTAAATATGTTAATGGCACCCATCAAAGAAATATTTGTTGATTTTAAGGTAATTTTTCCCTCAGTGTGGTGAAAATCTTGTGATTTGGATAAAATTCATCGTCGAGAAATATGATCTGAACGTGCGTATAAGATAAATGTCTCGGTAATTGAATCTTGTAATTAAAATAATTGAAACAGATGACAATATTATCTGTATTAACCATTTTTTCTCTTAGTGCAGAGAAAATGTTGTAGTGAAAATTATGTTAGGATTTTATTTCTTTTTATGTTTCTTGTAAAGCTGAACTATACTAAAATTTTAGTTGTTATAGAAATAAAATAAAATTTAAGTTATAGAAAATACACGATATAAAAATTGTCCAAGTAATTACAATACTTTTTTGTAAAAAGTCAAACTTGCATGAAACTTTTTTTTTTTAAACAAGTTCAATAATTGAATCTTGTGATTGAAATAATTGAAACAGATGACGATATTGCAATGTGGTTAAAAGATTAATAATATATGTGTATTTAATATTTCAATATTTTGAAATTTTTTGTTAAAAGATGTCTCTTTATGCGTCAATTTAATATTATTTAATAGTCATCCAATTTGACTCTGTATTATTCGGCAACTAAGATATGATTAATTTTTCATTACGACTACTTTATTTCCTATTTTATTTTAGTTATTACTTATTTTTCTATTTCAACTATTATTTTTTCCTATTTTTGACCGCTGACAAAATTTTATGTAAACGTTAGTTTTGTTAATAATTCATTAGTTCGTTAATAAAATGTAAAACTGATTGGGTTTTCTCATTAGTTCAGTTACGAGATATTTATCTTCATTATGTACATACATTCAGCTCCTAATCGGCTTTCACAATTTTTATGGACTAGATTGCCACACCTCGTGCTGTCAGAAAAGCCACCGGTTGATACAGTAATCGATTATGACAAAGTGGTAACGTGTAACAGAACGTAACATTTGTGAAATTTCGAAGGGAGGATATATTTTAAATTAAGGGAACGTTACTATGAGAAGTGTAGTCATTTTTATACATTTGTCACGGCGATTACTGCGCATGCATGTCAACAGTGGCTTTCAATCTTGACAGCTCAAAGCGTCGCAATTTTATTTTGATGAAAAGTGTGAAAGCCTAGGAACTGAGTGTGCATTCATGTTTGCACATTGTTCTATATAGCTAGGGAATTTAATAAATTTTATTTAATAAATCTTATATGACATACACACATGCACAAAACAAACACAAGCGCTAACTTTATGCTTTACGATGACATTGATAAAACACGGAGAAAATAAAATTTGTTTATTTCCTTTCGCGCAGAATTTTACACAATTTCTAGCGTCAACGATTCTGCTCCGCACACAATCGCCATATTTATTTTTCCAACGGAAAAATCACTGTTTCACGGTTTAGGACGAAGAATAAAGCTCGGTCTAGAATAGATGGACAATATACCGACGGAATCATTACTCTGCCAATATAAAAAATTCGGGGAGGACACAAAATGAATGTACAGAATTACGTATACTGGACTGTGAAGAGTTTATAACAGCAATATCGATTGATCGAGAAGTATTCAGAGGCTAATTTCTGGCGATAGGACGAGACTCCAGCGCTCTCCGTCGAATTTCTCCGTAAATATCACAGGGAGAATTCGGTGGAGCACGAAAATTCGCTCCGGGGGATCCGGAGAATTCCAGGTCGAGTTCGACGGGACGAAAGGAATAATTTCCGCTCGGAGTGATTTTCTAAGCGCCTATATACCACCTACGAAACGCGAAGGGTCGCGCGAACAAACATTCGGTCGATCCATCAAGCAAGCTTGGGATCGATCGTTCGATCTGTCATCCCGTAAACGAACAAACGGCGCGTGCGAACGGCTCGTACGAGCAAGCAGAAGTATTGTCGTTTGCGCACGTGTGCAGCGCGGCCTCTTCTATACTTAGGAGTCGCACTGGCTTCAAGGTAATCCGTTTTTCCGCCTTTTGATCTGATATAATAATCCGATCTTTTTACGACGTTTCTTACGTCGCCCGTTCGATCGCGCTTTCCGGCCGTTGAGTCGCGTTCACCTTCATCGTGACGCGGATCTCGGAAAAAAAAAAGATACCGTAACCTCCACCTTGGTTTTTCCTTTCGCCTTCGCTTGTTGGCTTCGGCAAACAATAATAATCAAGGAAGAGCGATTTTTCATTTCTCCTTCCGCGCGGTATGTGACGTTCGTCACGTGCGACTCGCGTTGACAATCGAGAAGAATTGCACGTAGTTAAGCGATAATGCTCGTAATATAATGATAATATCATATCATGAATATGAAACGGTATGTATAGAATACATACAACTGAGAAACGTACACAATACAGCTACCCGACTAGAACTTCGTTCCACACGCAGAAACATGTCGTTCTATTACTGAGAGCAGCGATTGCTCGGGTTAGTTTTCTTCTTTCAAGTAACGGTTACCCTCAGGCAAAGAATATTTTCTTAACAACAGCCTGAATTAGCATTATCGCTTAACTACGTGCAATTCTTCTCGATTGTCAACGCGAGTCGCACGTGACGAACGTCACATACCGCGCGGAAGGAGAAATGAAAAATCGCTCTTCCTTGATTATTATTGTTTGCCGAAGCCAACAAGCGAAGGCGAAAGGAAAAGCCTGAAAATGTGCTCGTCGCGAGTTTTAGGAAGGCTCGTGTGCTCAAAGGAAAAATTTATTCTCTTCACAGACAACTGATTAAGATCAACCTGATCGAGATCTGACGGGACAAATTTCTAGTCAGGTGTATTCAGTCTGTGAATAACGCGACAAGTAAATAATGCACTTACCGCCCCTGAATTCGAATCGAGTTTTGCTTTGCGTTTCTCCCTTTTCGTAGTTTTTTTTTTCCTCATACTCACCTAGTCGGGTGTACGGAGGGTATTACGCGATCGGTCGTTGAAATTCTAGCGAGCACGAGCGCAATGCTTTCCTCGGAAATGACGCACGTACATCAACGCCAAGCGACACAGTATCGCTAATTAGCTGCACGCTCGCGTCGCATCGCGACGGTCTTGTTTCTCCATTTCAAAATTACGACGATAAATCATGCGCCGTGTCGTACACGGATTCCCCTCTCGCCCCCTCTCTCTCTTCTTCTCTCTTTGTACACATATACTCAAACACAACACGTACGCATACGTACACATGAGGTTCACTTCGCGCTAATTACGACGGCAATCCCTGGCTTCACGTCTAGGCTCTGATCGCGAGAGTCGGCAACGGGGCTCGGCCTCGGCTAAGCCATGAAACACTCTATTGTGCGCGATCGCGTAGACGCAGTTTCGCCCGACAAAATACACGGCCCGCGCGCTGCCGGTTGCGCCCCTTTAATTAAAAAATGTAGGGCGCGCGCGATAGTTAGCTTCCCTCTTAATCACGAGATCGACGTAACACGAGTCACGCACGCGCTGTTTGTAAGGAGCGCGCCTCTATTTGTACTCGCGCGACGTCAATTACGCGGACTGCCAATAAGATCAAAAAAGCAACGGAATAAGTTGAGAAAAAAAAGGAAAAAGAGAGAGAGAGAGAGAGAGAACTTTTTCACTTGCGGAAAATTGTCGTGAGAAATTCGAAATTAGCGATTGATAAACGATTAAGCGGAGACACTTGTCTCACCGCGGAAGTTCTACACTCTGACGCAAAGAAATTAGCTTGGAAATCGCGTTCGATGGCCGTGCGGGAAAGTTGCGTGTAATAATCGTGGTTGAAAACCGGTTGAGTGGAGGAAAGCCTGCCGCGACAACCTTGAAACCTTGCGAACGAAAGAACGTTGTCGTCGTCGTCGTTGTAGTGGTCGGTGGTGATGGTGATGGTGGTGATCGAGACGAGATGTTCTCTCCGCGACGGGGGAAGCGGATTCTAACACCGCAAGTTCACGGTTCTACGATTCGCGGCGACTGTCCGTCACGTCGCGCAATCCGTCCGCTCGAGAGCGACTTTTCGATCGCCATTAGCAAGGTAACGCGACACGATATCGATATCATTGGGCATCCTCGATATCTCCTGTCGTACTCGCGTATTTTTTCCGTTTTCGCGCGGGAGACTGGACGGGCAGAACCATGTGCGTATTTTTAGACGTTCCATAACGTCACGTAATGATTTTCATCGTTGTCACGAGATGTCTAACGTGCAGAGAAAAGAATCTCCTTGGATTTGGCACGTCTACCAAAAAAGGATGGGTGACTTGCTGTATCATCACGAGATGATACAGTGAGAAAGAAATATTATACTTCTATTTCTGTGGGATCTCTATTGGTGGGATATAAAGTTTATATTAAGTCTATTTCTCACCTCTCTCTCTCTCTTCAATTCAACTGTTCTCTAATTTTTAGTTTCGTTCTCTAATTTTTTAATCGCCCTTACATTTGTTTTTTTGCATCGCGACGTACACTGCAATTTTGATATCATATTACACTCTTTTCCGCAAATAATCGTGTGGCCAAATATTCGTCCTTGCGGGCACAAACTTCTGCAACAACTGGTCGGATTTTGAAGTAGGTATTCTCTCTCGTGCGAATCTCTAAAGCCCGACGGTCGCGCCTTTGAAACTATCTTCGTGTTATCCTCGCTCGTCCAAGCGGAACTATACCATACCACTGAAATTGGGACTCCGACAGGATGGTTTCGGGAAACAACAGACTCAAAGGCTTAAACACTAACGTCCGTTCTTGCGACACGTGCGTATTCCCGAGTCGAGATTTTGATTCTACATTCCACCTTAATATTCTATTCAACGTTTACCTTGAGACTCTGAAGTCTATCAGCTGAATCAGCTCTTGATTCTATTTAACCTATTAATTTTGATACCCTCTAAAGCCCTACAAGTGGCATTTTGTGCGTTTTCTGCCACTTACAGGCGCTAAGCAAGACTTCAATTTTCTCACGTGTAAATTTTATTCCACTTTTCGCCTCAACGTTCCATTTTAATACTTTGAAGCCTACAGCAATTTTTTTTATTCTACTTAGCCTACTAATTCTATCTAACCTACTTTGCCGAGAAGTCTTCTTTAGAACTCTTTAAAACTTCAAGCATTTTGTGCGTTTTTTGTCATTCAGAGGCGGATAGAATTTCAGTTTCCATGCGTATCGCATATACACTCATCCTTCAGAATATACAGACGTTAGAAAGTTCAGGGTTAAAATTTCGACTCGGGTTCTCGCATTTAGGGAGTGTATGCACTCGCAAGACGTGGCTCGGCAAGAATTAATCACGATGAAAAATAACATTGTCTTTTTCATAGTACCTTTTCGACACAGGACTATTTCGCGAAGTTTAGAGACCCTTAAACAGAGACTGGCCGAAAAATGGTGGCGATAATATGTATGAGCTGGTGAGTGAGTGCGTGATCTATTATATGTGTGCGTGTGCGCTTGGTGAGCACGGCTCCGTATTGGTGCCGTCATTTTTCGGATCATGTTCATGTGCGCCAATCACGTGGAGACCCCCCAATGGCCAGTCTCTGTTTAAGGGTCTCTAATTTCGCGATTGGCGTGGATAACGTGGATCCGCTGTCGTGTCAATATGATATAGCGTTATTTCCATTTCGTGGAATCGCAATATCCCGGAAATAACCAGCAATACTCTGTTTGCTTAGATAAAAGGTGCAACTGATACCGTGCTATGTTAACATATAAAAAGATTAAATTGAATGGAAGAACACGGTAAAAGTTGCGAAGGTTATGTTGAAACGCGATAAAACGCAGCGAATTAGATATTGGAAGCAAACAGCTTTTTGCGCCTCGAAGACAGAGACAGTCATCTTCGGCAGATAACGGCAGATAACGACGCGGAAATAAATGTCGCGCGCGAGATGTTTCGCGTTTCACGCCGGGACAACAAATTACATTGTCAATAATAAATCCGGACGGCTCTTTTCGAACGCGCAGCTCCATGCACACCGTTAATCGGGACACGCGTGTGCTCGCGCATTGGCGGGGCAAATTGCGTGTTTAACACGTAAGCATGCAGACGCGCATTTCGCGGGAAAATACGCACGCTTAATTTAATTCGAACGAGGACGACGTATTACGCGGCGCGAGCGCTACCAAAATTATTACCGTGTAATATCCGATAATGGCCTCTAAAATGGCGAATTCAATTTCAGGCGTAATTAGTGACGACGGTATATCTCGATAAATCGCCAGGATATACTTCTGTGGTCGCGAGAGCGCGAGTTCACCTTAACACAAATTCTGCGTTGCGCATCGCGACGTACAGTAATATTCCATTCGCGCGCGTGTTTTCCGAGTAACGCGCCGTGAAATCCACACCGGAAACCAGACTTTCCTCTGTCGTTGTGTGTGTGTGTGTGTGTGTTCACCACACGCAAACGAATTTCAATTATACTCCCTGGATTAATAATAGCGTTAGCAGCGAAACGAAATGCGCCGCGTTATGTGCGCATCGTGTCCTCCTCCCCTTCTGTTTTAATGAAATTCCCAGCTTTTTTGCCATTACAAAACGCTAAGAAAAGAGCTCACGAAATTCGCAGAAGCGACAATATCGTTCTCTCTTTCGAGCCGTAATCGCCGCTGCACCTGACAGCGAGTCCTGTGAGTCGTACATTTTATCTCTCTTGAAGTTTCCTCAAATTATAGGGAATTTTGGGGATCATCGATTGCGACTTTGAGGTAAAAAAGAGTTAAAGTTCGAAATGGCAAGTCCAATATGGCGGCCATGAGTTTTTAAAATTAGCAATCTCGCTCAGAGTAAAGGAGGAAGGATGAAGGGGAAAGAGAGAGAGAGAGAGAGAGAGAGAGAGAGGAGGGGAAGGGGGAGGATATTATATAGTACTGATATAACCGACTTTGTCCGCCAATAAGTTAGTTAAAATCATTAAAAATGAAGGGAAGATAAGTTCACGGAAAAAAAAGTTTGGTTAAATTAACCAAATATCTGGTCGAATGTGAACAATCCAGAAATTGCGATTGAAGTAACCCGAATTCTGTTTAAATTAACAAGATTTTTGGTTGAGGCTCATGGACACGGTCACGTGCTGATGCATGCTGCTCAGGAATCAAAGTTTCTATCACTGCATCCCACATGGAAAAAAAGGTTTGATTGAATTACCCAAATATCTGGTCGAATATGAACGATCCAGAAATTCCGATTGAAGTAATCCAAATTCTGTTTAAGTTAACAAGATTTTTGGTTGAGGCTCATGGACACGGTCACGTGCTGATGCATGCTGCTCAGGAATCAAAGTTTCTATCACTGCATCCCACATGGAAAAAAAGGTTTGATTGAATTAACCAAATATCTGGTCGAATATGAACGATCCAGAAATTCCGATTGAAGTAATCCAAATTCTGTTTAAGTTAACAAGATTTTTGGTTGAGGCTCATGGTCGCGTTGATGTATATCCCCTCCCATGCTGTTGCGTGCTGCTCGGGAATCAAAGTTTCTATCACTGGTGGGATGTGCGTCCCTCATTATGGGACTCAAAAGGTTAAAAATTATCGGCCGGGAATCGTCACGTCTCGATGGATGATCGTGAAAAGGATTGATTCGTCGCGAAAGTGCGTATTAGCAGTAGCGGCGACAATAGCCACGTCACGACACGAGAGAAACGAAACGTCACGGAGAGCCGCAGCGGCCGGCACAATTGTGCTTTGTTTCTCTGGAAAATGAATGAGTAAAACGAAGAGAGGGAGAGAGGACACCCGTCCATCGTGACACGGCGTGTTTAACGGCAAGATATTCACCGTCCGCGCGGTAATGCGCGCATTTTTATGCGAGTACACTCTTATCTTCTTTCGGTTTACCTCGGTTATCGCGCAGATAACGAATTCTTCCGCATTACGGGGCCAATTTATGGCCCCGTCGAATTCACACCGATGAGATATTTCGCTTTTGCGTAGCTGCTCATGGCGATTTCGAACGAATGGCCTTAACGCGCTCTCCCTACCAGCGTCGCACATGTCGCATCGATCTCGTCGCTTCAAGCTTATCTTCACACGGAGAAAAATAATTTGCAAACAAATCATACAAGCTCTGCACATCAAATCTATAAAATGATTAATACGGACATAGAGCCAAATTACAGTTGTTACGTATTTAATAAAAAATTAATAAATACACAATAGACGTTTCGACCATTGGATGTGGCCTCTTCAATAAGTGGTATAAAATCAAGTATAGTCCATGCAATTCGTCAAAGCGGTGTTGTTATGTTCAAGACGCAAATTCCTTACATCGGCATTCTAATTAATACATCAGTATTCGCCAACAACATCATACATCAGTGTCCGCTCTCTTTTTTCTACATCTTTGTCGGTAAACACTAATGTATTAATTAGAATGTCGATATAAGGAATTTGCGTCTTGAACATAACAACACCAGCTTTGACGAATTGCATGGACTATACTTGACTTTATACCACTTATTGAAGAGGACATCCAATGGTCGAAACGTCTATTGTGTATTTATTAATTTTTTATTAAACACGTAACAACTGTAACTTAGCTCTATATGTTTGTATTAATCATTTTATAAAAATAATTTGTTGGCCCGGCAAATGTTCTGCTGGTCCAGGAAAATCTTTTCGTTATTATATAGACAGCAAAAAGATTTGCCAAGAGTACTAATCACTATTTGCTGGATATAATTTGCTGAAACTACAAATTATTTTGCTGTAAGAACCATGATGGACTTATATAAGTAGTTACAGTTTTGCTTCGATAGCAAATAAATTTGCTAAGAATACATTATTTTGTGTCAATAGCAAATTGACGTGATTCTTAGGACAAATACACTCAACAAATTTGTTCTATCCTGGCAACAAAACTACTTCTGCTCTGATAACGAATAATTTGTGAAATTAGTTACGTCAATTTTTTATATTAAATTTTTTTTTATGTCACTACGAATATGCAGTAGCAACGACGATTTTGCTAAAAGAACAAAATTATTTTTCTCCGTGCACTCAAAATTTTCAATTTTACTTAACGCGCCACCAACGTCACGAGTGTATGGAAACGACATTTTCCTTTATTCATGATAAAGAAATCTCAGTTTCCTTTGTTCTGATTGGTCAATTAAATGCTACTCTACCCGTCGAGTAGAGTTTTCGAACGCAACTTTACGGAGAGAATTAATAAATAATCCACAGTAGCAAATATATCAATGATACCAACGGCTGCGCGTTCAGCGGAGAAAGCTGCCTTGCAACTGTTGCAAAATTCGTGAATCTGATTGTCATATGCTCTTAGATTCAGCCAAGACTAAGAGCGCGTCCCAATCAGATTCACGAATTTCACAACGTAGTTGCAAAGCAGTTTTCTCTGCTGAACGTAGCAATACTTGGAGATTAATAACGCTGATACTTAACTCTGGAGTTTGGATAATATTCATATTTTTTCTTCTGTGTTTACAAAGCATGAGCGTAAGCAAGCGCCTAAGCCGCGATACTTGCGGTGTAAAATCATACAATGCATTTTGTTGATCTCGCGCTTTGTAAACACAGAAGAAAAACATCAATACGACTCGAACTTTCGTTCCAGACTTCGTGTTTCCCGAGAGTACATACATATATATGTATCTCCACGTTGAAAGTTTCAATATTCACATTTAAAGACTAAAACATAAGAGGTGAACAGCATATCACATTAATCTTACGGTGATTTATCGATTGTTAAAGAGGAAGGTGTTAGGATTATTTTGCAGATCTATTCGATCGATTCGCAAGTGTCATTCTGCGAACACGTCCCTTTTTCTGCGCATTTTGCAGGGATTTTGAGCGTTTATTTTCTCGCTTCTCAAGTCATCAATCAAATGAGTTTTGCGGCGGGTAGCCACGAGCCTTAAAAATTGACTGCTGTCAAACTGTCAGACGCGGTGGCGCGGTGACGAATCTACATACGGTGTCAAATATGGTACGTCGACTGGAAATTACTTGAGTCAAAACTGTAAGGCGCGTTATCAGCGGTGCCATGTGTAAAAGATATGGATTGGAAAAGCGCATCTAATGTGCCTAGAAATATCTAAATGTCTAATAATATATATACAGTTTCGCGTGTTATCTGCCTAACAACATGTTTACGCAAATGTAATCTCTCGAGGAGCGCATATCAGTTCCTGACGATCGTAAAATGCCTTGAATTCCTCAGCGATTAACGTACGAATGCTTATGAAGAGAAAAAAAACCGCGTCGTTCTTTGTCAAAGCGACATGCATTTCTCTCTTTTTTTTTATTTCTCTCTGTTCTCTTTTCTCTTCACGCAAACTCGTAGCGACGGGTTATGTGATCATCTATTGGAATGCATATTATTTCCACGAACGTCTAGTTAGGTCAAGGAGCCAGTAAAATGACGCGAATTTGTACGTTTGCACTCGATCCCGCATAACCGGTTCTCAAATAACAGTAGAGAAAGAAAAAATTCAATGGAAATTCTGATGAATAATTTAGCCATAAACATTGCATTCTCGAAAAGAGAATCAGGATTAATAAAAAAGAGAAAAAAACAGTGCGCCGATATCACGTTATAATCGCTGATATATGTCTTTTTTTGCAGCAGTTAAAAGTTACTCGCGGAACTTTACGAGCTAATCACGATGTAACTGAAAAGTTCGTTGTATATTGAAGGATTACATACGACAATTATCTGTAAATTACAAAAATTTTATATACGCTTCGTTTCCCTTGTATATCGCGGTGTAGAAGGTTACAGGTTTTTATTCTTGGACCGGGAGATTTTCTTAATCAATCAAAACCAGTGCCAGATAGCCTTCCTCAGATCCGTTTAATTCATGACTTAGTCTCAATTTCGATTAATAGAATAAGAAGAGAATCGGAGAGAAACGTTTTTCATAGTTATGTATATTATATATATATATATATATATATATATATATATAAAAAATATATATATATATTAAATATATATTAAAATATATATTAAAAAATTAAATATATATTAAAAATATATATTATATATAAACATAAATAATATATATATATTATTATATGTTATATAAAAAAATATATATATTAATTATAATAAAATAATTATATATATATTAAAAAAAATATAAATAAACGAAGCATTTAATAAAAAAAATATAAAATATCAAAAAGAAAATATTCTATAAATATTTATATTCTCTAAGATGACTCGACAATAAATGATCTTTTATTTCGTTCTAAATATCTTTGAGCGCCAACTCTCCAACCTTTCTTGGGAGTTAGCCACACACTCCGTTCAATTCTCTTACTTTCTTGATCTCAAGACGAGGACTTGGTCTCAACGATTCTGAAGCTATGTGAACCTGGCACCCGACTTTTGAAAAAATAATTTTTTTCTACGTAAAAAGTTAGCATTTTGTTTGTAGTTGTTTGTAGTAACAATAATTTCGTTTGTAGTTCCATCCATTAAAAATTATAGAAATTTAAAAAAATGAGTAGCACCCCACTTTGAGATATCTCAAATCTGCAAGCGGGTGACGTTTCTAAATCGTTTGTAGTTGTTTGTAGTGATTTTCGTTTCGTTTGTAGTCGAACCGTTCAAAAGTTACAACAATTTAATAAAACGCGGAAGAGCCAACTTTGCCATTTTTTGAGATCACTC